TGCACATGCATTTCTAATCTCTAAATATCTGATTATTACTAGTCACAGTTGGTTATTTTCTGAGCTTCTAGGCAACTGAGCATGGATATAAAGTCATCAGGTAGATTTGAATGGTAATGTTTTTCACATCTACTAATTATTATTTTTTAAATCATTATTTAAAAAAATTTTTAATGACTACATGATTAGTGGAAGCCTTATACTACAGCTTTAACATATTCAGTAACACATTCTAGAGCAAGAGTACATCTCTTTCAAAGGTGGCTGTAAACTTCTAGGCTCACAGTTGAATTAATAAAGTTATACAATATGTAACTCAGTATAAACCCTGTAAGACATAAAATTGAATGAGTTTTTACCCTTTAAAGAAGATCTCCATTTCATTTTAAAATATGCTGTTTCCTACATTTTTATGCTACTAACGCTTAGATGTTTGCACAGGTGCCTCTAATCTATTACTATGTATCTGATTACACTCAGATCCCTAAGGTGGATTTCAGTGGTAATATTTATCACCTCTACTAATTACCATGACGTAAATTTCCATGCTTCCTCCTCAAATATAATACATTTTTTAAAATTTTGATTTTTCTTTTTTGGTGTGTGTTTGTGTGTGTATATATCAAACAGAACATCCCAAACCATCTTATTCAACTATACACCCACTTCCCAGATGGAGCCCTCCCATAGCCTCCCTCCCCCGACTAGAGCCCTTATACTCTGATATCCCTGCGACTATCTGCTGTGTTGTCGGCACCCCCAGCCATTCCCCACTACTTGCCCTTCTGGTGAATCTAGTCAGCCTATCTAGAGGTCTTTGTTTAGGAGGGTCAGCTGTTCCTCTTCTAGCAGCATCAATTTGGCGAACTTTAATTCCTTGTCATTTCTCAACTTAGGAGAATCGTAGTTTTGTTTCCACTACTCTTATTCACACCACTCTTCCAATATCACTGGTAGACTTTTTATCTCAGCCAGTTTGCCAGGTGCTTTCAACACAGCTGACCACTCCACCATCCTTAAAACAGTCTCTTCTCTGGCTTCATGTGCAGCTAAGCTCAGTTTTCCCCTTCCTTTCTGGGTACTCCTTTTCACTATTTTCTACAGGCCTGTTACTCTGTCCTATCAACCTTGGGCCTTCTGGGGGTTTTCTTCCATGCACTCTTTTCTTGAACTGCCATCTGCACATTAGTGTCTTACAAATCTCTTCTTTTCAGTGCTGACCTCATTCCAGAGCCACACATACAACTACAAATTCCTAGATTATCTCCAATTAGATTTCTTGCAAACTCCACAAACACAGTAAATCTGAACTTAAACTCATCATTACTCTCATCTCCCTATTTCTGTAAATAGCAATTCCCATTCCAGAACTTGGGAGCCACTCTTGTCTTTTTGTTGTTGCTCTGAGATATGGTCTTGCTATATAGTCCAGTTTGTCTCAAACTCATTAGGGAGTCTAGGTGTGCTTCAAACTCATGATCCTCCTGCCTCAACTTCCCAGATGCTGTGATTACAGGCTACAGCTCCATGATCAGCTATTTCTTTTTTTTTTAATTTAAATTTTTTACATATTTTAGTTATTTTTACGTGTATGAGTGTATTGCCTGCATGTATGTGAGTGCACCCGTGTCGTGCAATGCCACGGATGTCAGAAGAGGGTTTTGGATTCCCTTGGAACTGGAGTGAAGGATGGTTTGTAGCCACCATGTGGGTGCTGGGAATCGAACCTGGGTCCTCTGCAAGAGCAGTCAGTGCTCTTAACCGTTGAGCCATCTCTCCAGACCGATCAGCTATTTCTATGCCTCTTAAAAGTTATCCAATGTCTGCCCTCTCACCTTATGCAAAAAATGCTAAGAGTTAAATATTTGGAAAGTTGAACTCACTCCGATAAAGTTTTCTTCTAAGAACCAACACATTATGTTCTATATGCTTTAGCAGCTTCACAAAACCTTTAAACAGATGTTTATGTTTTATCAAACTTTTCTAGATTTGCCCAATGGAGGAAATAGTGTGACTACAAGCTACTTCATTACAGTCCAAAGTAGAAGTTTGTGACATTCTTTTAATCTTTACCATATATGCTGAGTTTTGCTTTGTTTTATGAGATAGGTTCATGCTACACAGCCCTGGCCAGCATGGAACTCACTATTTAGAACAAGCTGGCCTTGAACTTACAGTGACCCTCCTGCCTCTGTCTCCCAAGTAGTGAGATTACTAGCATATACCACCATTCCTGGCCATTCTTATATTCTTATTTTTAATGATTTATGATTAAAATGAAGACTTCATTATAAAACTAAATCTAAAATAATCAATGGCATATTCTTCTCTAAAACAGCAAAGTCAAAAGAAAATATCTAACTTATTAGAAGTATATTTAAGCTCTACTTACATATAACTATTTGTTATTTAGAAGTATATCTATATTTCATGATTCATGAATTATTCATATGTAGTTGATTACTTAGATCATTAGCAATCATTTATGACCAATTAGTATTTATTTAGCAGTTATAAATGGTATTGAATTTAGGAAGTAACAATCTAGAAAAACATGTAAGATGTAAGATGTATAGGCATAAAATTTATATAAAATAGGGGGCTGGAGAGATGGCTCAGGGGTTAAGAGCACTGGCTGCTCTTGCAGAGGACTTGGGTTCAATTCTCAACACCCATTAGGATTAACGACCATCCTTAACTATAGTTCCAGGGAATCCAATGCCCTCTTCTGACCTCCACGGCATTGCATGACACAGGTGCACAAACACACATACAGGCAATACACTCATACACATAAAATAAAAATAATAGATAAAAATTATATAAAATAGTATAATAGTGTATGGAAATGAGAACATAGAATATAATGTTAAAATGAAAAAGTGATTAATTTGGACTCCAGAAGTCCCTGGAGCTATTATTATCAGTCTGATACCTCAATTTTATAGTTAAGACTTTTGTTAAGTAATGGCTTTACATAATGTACCTAATAAAATGTACCTAAGACATAGCAGAATGAAACTAGAACTCTGGTGTCCTAATTCTTGGTTCAATGTGATTACAAAAAGAGGTGTTACCTGAAGAGAAGGGAAAAGAGAAAGAAAAAGTGGTAAGAGAATACAACACAACCAAGGAATGCCCAGCAATTCAGCTATAGCAAATTATTTGAAAAGATGCAGACGTTACAGTTGAGTAAATAAGAGAACAAAGTTACAGAGATTTTAGATTGTCAGGCTGAACTGAGACATACTCTATAGTAAGACTAAAACTACTTTATTAAATATGATTAATTCTATGGTAGAACTTATTGTGGAAAGTGTGGGGTGAAGATTAATCTTCACTCCCTTGGTTGCACTTGGAATCACCTAGGAGCAGAACAACAGGAAATTAGCCAGACCTGATCACTGTAGACTCCAGAGTATAAAATTGTAAACTCATTTAAAAGATTTCTTTGAGAAAAGAGAGCCACCAGGGCATACTGCTCAGACAGAATCACATAAGGAAGTGCTTTCTTATTCCCTGCAGCTATATTCTGGGGGGGGGGGGGGGGAATGGGGGGGGGAAACAGCCGGGGGGGGGAGCTCACGCTACGCTGGGAATGGGGGC